TTTGAAAGCAAGAAGCCATACGCTAGCTTTACGATGTGGCTGCCTTTATGTTGGAATGTGAAGCAGAAAAGAGTCAGGTGACCTGCAGCAGTCTGTTGCCTAGTGTAGGGAAAAGATAGAGATCTTGCCTCAACAAGATGCAAGATGAGAACTGGCTCTTAAAAACTGTGTTCTGACCTCCACATACACACAGAGGGTGCACTTTCCAAATAAAATAAAATAATGCCTGTAAATGACACCTGCAAGGCTGGCTGTTGGATTTGTAGCTCCATCTCTGGGATTCTGACTACACGTGAGAGAGATGAGTATTGTGATCAAAAGCTGAATGTTCAGACACACAGCAGACATTTTCCATACTTATTAGCAAAATGTCTAACAGCTGGACGTGTTTCTCCACGAACTACACAGCTTACAGGAAGCTGAAGATTTGAAAGCACAAATTCCAGAGAAGAGTGTTCTGCTGTCCTCTGGGTGTGGCTTTTTATCATCTGGGAGAGGAACATTAGCAAGAAGAGAGAAGGTCACACTACATCTAGGTCAGTATACACCCAAGTTATTCAGTGGTTGGGATAGGATTAAGTCATAGGAACAGATCACAAAGCCTCTCTTGTATCAAATTGTTTTTCCTGATTTTCAAGAGCAATCTGTATAATCTGTAGATTTTTAAAATAGTAAACGTCATAATTATTAATGGGAACTTAAACATTTCATTAAAAAATGAAGAACACCTTTGTGACTGTACATGTTGCTGAGTTTTCAATAAGCATAGACCCTGCAGCAGCCGGATAAGAGAGTGGCAACATACTGGCATTCTACTTCCAGAATGTTGGGTAGAGATTTGAAGTTTAGCTTCTCAGGAGACTGTTTGTTGTGCTTATGGAAATATGGAGATGGTTTATTGTATTGTGTTCGTGTTGCAAGTTATCCTAGAAGCAATGGGTTGTTTATTAATGGTAATTACAAATAAAATGTACAAGCTCATTATTGGGAATGTGATATAGATAGTTATTATTTAGTTAAGGAGTATATGTGGTGGTCTCACAATGTATCATTAATTCCTGTAATTTTCTAGTCTCAATATAAATCTCTAGAATCCCAAACTGAACTTTGAAACAAGGGAATGACTTTCCCAAGAGCAGATATTTGCCAAGTCACAGAAAACACCGACTCCAAGTTTGAGGGCCATATGTTTTCCATGTTATTGTTATTATACTGATCCAGAAAATTATGGCATTTTCCAATTAACACTCTTTCTTTGCGCCTCCTGTAAAGCTAATACTATTGCTTTCTCTTGGTATTCTTTGATGGTTAAATCAAAAAAATCTAAATCTCATAAATTACTTAACCCCAGTCTGGCTGACATAGTCACTTTTCTCTTGCTGTGATGAGGCACCATGACCAAAGCAACTCTTACGAAGTAAAGCATTTGGTGGGGGTGGCTTACAATTTCAGAGGCTTACTCCATGATGGGGAGCTTGGCAGCACACAGACAGACCCGGTACTAGAGAAGTAGCTGAGATTCTACACACCAAACCTAAGGCAGAGAGAAAGAAACTAGGCCTGTCATGGGCTTTTGCAACCTCAAAGCCAGCTCCCAGTGATGTATTTCCTCCAGCAAGGTCACACCTCCTAACGCGTTTGATCCTTTCAAACAGTTCGACTCTGTGGTGACTGAGTATCCAAGTATTTGAGTTTATGGGGATGACACTGAAACAGATAGAATTCTTAATTGTTGTTGCATAGTTTGTTAATTATATGCCAGCAGCTGGGGTGGATGCTGAGGAAATAGGCTCATAATGAGCTCTTTCTCGGACTGGAGAGATGGTTCAGTGGTTACGAAGTACTGACTGCTCTTCCAGAGGTCCTGAGTTCAATTCTCAGCAACCACTTGGTGGCTCACAAGCATCTCTAATGGGATCTGATGCCCTCTTCTGGTGTGTCTGAAGACAGCAACAGTGTACTCATATAATTTATTTATTTATTTTTAGCTCTATCTCTTTTTAAAGGGCTTATTAGCACAAGAGAGGTGGGGTGGAACAGGCTTTGTAAATGACCACAGACCAATGTCATAGATCAAGGGTAGTTTTGAGTCCATGAGTGATAAGAAGAGGATCATCTGGCCTCTCCCGATGTGCTCTGAGAGTCCCTCTCCCAGCCTGGTCATTAATGTGCTCAGCCCTACGTACCTGTGATATTATAACAAGGGCTTTAGACCAGTTAATAAAAAAAAGTATTAAATAGTCCCTAAAGGACAGGTCATGTAAGTAAGACCTGTTCTGTATATGCTGTTTATCAAGGGCTCCAAATGTGAAAGTTGCACTCCCAAAAGGGAAACAGATAGCAGACCCTAGATAGACCCCACCCTCCAGCTGGGCAGGTTAAGCAGTGTGCAGGGGAGCAGAGAGGAACCTTAGGATTTGCAAAGAAATCAAAAAGGTCGCAAACTCAGAGGAAAGCCTTTAACCCCAAGTGCAGGAATCACCAGCTGTGTATTATGTGCTACCATGGTAGGAAGGCATGGCTGTTCCTCCATGGGAGCACGGTCTCCTCTGAGAGCTATTCTATATCATAAGAACACACAGCATACTATTCTCTAATCTTTAATTGACAAATGTGAACCTGTAGGAGACGATAATAGTTGAGAGAAGGCAGCTGTATGAACGAAAAGTACCACAATAAGCAAAGCAAGCGATGGGCCTAGGAAAGAGAGAATGTTGGGAATAAAAGATTTTAAAAACTGTTTATATTTGTGTGCAGGAAGACTGAGGAGGTTGTTGCAGCTATAAAGCAAGAACATCATAGTCAGCAACTAGAAGGCTAGGAAACACTTTTAGAAATTAAAGACACCATTGAAGTTGTGGTGGTATGTACTAATATCAACACCGAAGACAGAATCAGGAAGATCTGAAGCTCAGTAGCAGCCTGGACCACACTAGGCCCTGTCTCAGAAAGCACAAACAGCTTCTTTCTGACTTCAATCCAGCAGAAAGTCTCCTGCAAAGAAGCACATTGAGAACAATAAGGAATGTTCTGTTATCAAGGAGGTGCCAGCATGCACCATGAATATTCATAAGCACATCCAGCCTGCAAGGTATGGACCTCTCAGGCACTCAGAAAAATAAGTAACATTGCCACAAAGGAACTGAGGCCTCAGAAGTGCACACTGATACCAGACTCAAGGCCAGAGGCATAAGGAATGTTCCACGGGTATCTGTAGCTCTTTGTCAGATAATTTAATGAGGATGAAAGTTCACCAAGCAAATTATATACTTTGGTAACTTGTGTTCCTATAACCATGTTAAAAAAAATCTGTACACGTTCATTGTGGATGAGAAGCGACTACTGAGCCTAACTTATAAAACTGAAATACAAACTAATCCCACAACAAACAAAAAAGATTTTTAAAAAGTCAGCAGAAATATATATAGCTGAAGATAAGCTAGGCATCTACATAACAAAGTCAAAAGGCACCCTAGAACTTCTATCAAAAAATACAGACATGTTGATTATATTTAGGACAGAGCCAAAAAGCCAATATTGAGACTTACAGGGATTTCAAAAGAGAGAACCCAACCAACCAACCAACCAACGAGACAATGTTCACTAAGGGGGCAAAGGTGTAGCTAATTAAATAAAAATAAATGAGGGATTCAGAAGAAAGTTCATAGAAACAATGGAGAAGGAACAAAAACATAACAGGCCATTTTTTTTTTGAGCTGAAGGAAGACCTGATTCTACAACACAAAAGTATTCAGCCGCCAAAGTGAGAAGAGGCACCGCCATGTCTGCACATCTGCACTGGATGGTCTTGCAGAACTTTCTGTTCAAGAGGGGGAACCAGATGGCACAGTGCTGACCTCAGTAATATGAAGGCCTGAAACTCCTTGTGCTACAGTGAGCAGATTCACCGCCAGGCTGTGGGAGTTGAGCCCGCGGCTGGTCTCAAAGAAGGTCGTGGAGACCGAGATCAGGCCAGGGACAGCCAGCCGCTTCCTACGTAAGGACCACTATCAACTAGAATGCCTGTGCGACCCTCAGCAGCACCTGGCACATGGGCTGCAAGAAAAAGTTCGAAAAAGTGAGGCTCTGATCTGTGCGTGGCCGTCTGCAGTCAATTCCATCCCCACAGTGTTTGGGGAGGAGGAGGAGGAGGAGGAGGAGGAGGAGGAGGAGGAGGAGGAGGAGGAGGAGGAGGAGGAGGATGAAACGGGGGGATTTGTGCCAGCTAGAATACCTGAACCCCTCGCCTCAGAAACAAGAATGAATTCTGACCTTCTCAGTCCTGGGTGTGGGGATGTGTTTGGGGGGAATACTCACTGGATGGTTAGAAAAAAAAGTGATGCCTACAGTTAGTTAAAAAGAAAAATAGAGCCTATTCATGCTCTGGTGAAGTCTTATAACTTGTAGTCAAGTGCCGTCTAGCTCCTGAGCAGCACTGCAGCTGCACTGATTTCACAGACACTCATGTTAGATGCAACCTTAGGGCCGTCTCAGTTCAAATCAAAGTGTTGAGCTCAGAACTTTAGGTTCCAGCTTCCAGAAGCTGCCTGCCTTTAAGCAAGTCACTTCATTTCTTTGGGTCTTGGTAAATTTGCCTTTAAGAAAGCAAGGATAGATTTGACAGTCATTACATTCCTTTCCTCTTGTAAAGATTGGTTTTCTTTTTTTTAATTATATGGCTTTTCTTAATGTTTTTAACCAATGCTTTCTCCCAAATCCAGCACTGGCACAAATATTTCTGTGGCATATTTTGTGAATATGAAAGTTGACTTCCCATCCTCTTACACTTGGAAGAAAGAATCTCAGGGTGTTTGAGAGAGAACCTCTGGTGTAGTGACTCAGCGGCAGATGTTCCCCGTAAGTGTCATTTACGGGTTGTTTAATGTGCTCTTTGTCCTCAGGTTCAGCAGATCTGCCGCCATGCATCATGCGTGGTCGGAACCTCTTCAGTCAGTGTAGCTGTTTCTTCTGATACAAACCTTGGTTTCTTCCTGATTTAGCTGCCTTGCAGGCACTGAAGAGAAAGAAGAGGTTTGAGAAGCAGCTGACTCAGATTGACGGCACCCTTTCCACCATTGAGTTCCAGCGGGAAGCGCTAGAGAACTCACATACCAACACGGAGGTCTTACGGAACATGGGCTTTGCGGCCAAGGCCATGAAAGCAGTTCATGAAAACATGTGAGTGACCCAGACTCATTGATCTTCATGCTGAGAAGAGTCTTTGAATTGTGTGGTGATTTTGGTAGGACTAGGTCACTGTTGGATGTACTGGGTGGGATGCGTTCTCAGAGGTAGTTTAAAACTTACAGTAACAATTATACATATACATATATATATATATATATATGTATATATATATATATATATATGTATATATGCTTGAAAGAGAAAAAAGCATATAGAATCATGCTTTCAATATTTCTCAGTTCATTTATGAAATTCAACTGTAGTTCTATAATTTTAACAATGCTAACATCAGCGAAGGTGTTAGAACAGTGGAATAGCATTTGCCAGACTTTGCTGGGTATCAGAATCATCTAAGCTGTTCAAGAACATGCAGATACCTAGCCTCCCTGAACAAGACAGATATTAGACCTTTTGTTTTTAACCAAGTTCTCCAGGCTGGGGCCGACACTTTCTTATACTTGAAAACCACTGACATACAGTATTAATTACAGGGACCAAAATTTGTAGTTTTCTGGTTGTAATCTCATTCCCACAGTTTCCTCAGCTGTAAGTTCTTGCTTACTTCCTCTGCTTGATGTGAAATTCACTGAGATTCTAGATAGACGGGGCACAATTTCTGCTCCAGTCTGAGATCCTGTAAGGTGCATTCGGTCTGCATTCACAGTGGGAAATGCAGACCTGGGACCTGGTCCTCTGCTGATTAGGGACAGTGGGAGTAGACTCCTGTCTAAGAGAGTGTAAGAGCAGCAAGTGCCGAGGGACAGACACGGTTCCAGAGGATGGGAAGAGGTGGCAGAAGTGCCTGGGGTTGTGTTCATCTCTAGAGCATCTTCTTGCTTTGCTTACTAACTCATTAAGCAGCTGCCATTCTGTCACTGCAGAGATCATTAGTGAGTGGCTGGACTCCCAGGCCCCCACAGTTGTGGTAAGCTGGGTGCTGACAGAAGTGGATTGCATAGCCTGGCTGTGTCTCCAGGTCCCTTAGAAGCATCAGACAGGACTGTGCTTTTGGAGATAAGTTCAGTCACTATTCCAAACTTGCCTCACACATGCCTTGTACTTCCTTTAATGAATATATTCATTACAACTCTAATAAGGATGAACAGAAAGGGGTGGTAGGCAAACGACAGAAGCATTCTTTTTGATTACGTTTGGAAGTGTGTCGAGGTTCTCAGTTTTGTTGTGGTGGGTCTGAGACACTGAAGAAATAATGAGCTCCACTGACTCCGATGGTCAGCGCTGAGGACACTCAGTAGCTCATCAGCCTGCCTGGTTCTGAGCTGTAGCAGTGCTTCAGAAACACTCTTATAAAAACAAGATGTAACGTGGCCCGTCCACTGAGACTAACTTTTGTGCAGCTGTCTTGAGCCTGGACCTGCCTGCCTTCGTTTGCTGAGGTCGTGGCCTTCGTGAGGGCATGCTGAGTCAAAGCCTTCCAATTTAGCCCCCTCCCACACATTGTCTATAGGGGAAAACCTTCAAGGAGCAAGCATTTCAGAGCTACTGTCTTATAGAAGGTTCCAATGCTTGGTTGCTTCAGGAATGGCTGCTGAGAGCTGCCTTGTGATCTCTGCCATAGCAGTCCTCAGCAAACCAAGGAGCAAAGCACATAGAGGCACCACGCATTGTTAATCACAGTTATTTTAGTGATCCTTGAAGGTAGAAGGTAATATTGAAAATGCTTGTGAGTGTATGGGATTACTAAAGTTTTGACAGGAAAATTATGTTTTGAATTGATGATCAGGAATTTTTGTTATGGTGTTGAAGTAGCTAAAGAATATATGTGAAATTAACTGGTTTTCCTATGAAATTAAGTCTAGATTCATAATTGTAAGATGAAATTCTAAAATCCCAACAAAATGCTCCCCAGGGATCTCAACAAAATTGATGACTTGATGCAAGATATCACAGAGCAGCAGGACATTGCCCAAGAAATCTCTGAAGCATTTTCTCAAAGGGTTCAGTTTGCTGACGGCTTCGATGAGGTAGGTGCGCTACTGAAGAATGTGGAACCGTGGCTGCTGTGGAGGGCAGCTTCCTCTCACATAGAGCAGCCGTTTTGCTCATTGCTGACCAGATAAATGTCATTTATTGGAAGTGAGATTTCAAGGAGGGAAATGAGGTTAGTAGCTGATTTCAAGGAAAGATGACTAGTTTGGGAAACAGCTTCTTAATTAGGTTTCCAGCTATTAAGGAAAAAGAAAACAGCCTGTGATTATGTAAAGTTAGTGACTTTTAATGGTTGGAGTATAAATGGTCCCATTATGAGGAATCATGTGCTCTCACATCTGGCCAAACAGAGCAGACGGTGTCACTCTGTAAGCAGCAGATGGATTGGGCTCTGTGGCTGTTAAATTAGGAGTTAGGCTGCTTCTGTTCATTACTCAGTCTATCAAACAAGTAATTGTGTAATTGTGGAGTGGCATTATTTACAGTCCCATTCTGTTTGTATTAATCAGTCCCATAGTCCAGGAAGACAATTGTGGTGCCCAAAATGAGAATCTCAGTGATTCCATTCCTACACATTCCAGGATGAGGACATTGTTAGGCACACCCCCAAGGGCCCAAGTAGCCCAGCTTCCTGTTTCTAGGTCATATGGCAGGATGAGTCTAACAGGTCAAGATGTGGCAGTTTGCTGCTAGTAATGCCACGGTCTGGGACTGGAGAGAGGTTCAGAAAACTTGTTACTTTTGTAGAGGACCTGGGGTTCTGTTCCCAGCATTCAGAGTGGATCAAAATCCTCCATACTGCAAGTTCTATGGGATCTGAAGCCCTCTTCTGACCTCTGTTGGCACCTGGCACAAATGTGCTGCTCATGCATTTATTAGGCAATATATGTAAGGTGTTAGCAAAATATAGCCTGTAAGTCAGTCGTGGCTATATTTGTGTAATCCTCTAAGGATGATTTGCACTCTCTTGAACTATAGGAAGTAAGAAATAAGATCTGGTAATAAGGAGGTATCTGACCTGCGAAGCCTAAAATACTACTATCTGGATGTAGAAGTGCATGAGAGTTCAACAGTTCAAGGTCAACCTTGGGCCAACGTAGTGGTGTCAAAGCCAGCCTGATATATATATATATGTATATGTGTATGTATATGTATATGTATATGTATATGTATATGTATATGTATATGTATATGTATATGTATATATATATATATATAGAGAGAGAGAGAGAGAAAGAGAGAGAGAGACTTCATCTCAAAACAAATAACAGCAACAAAACAATCAAATACAAGGCGCATGCACATATGCATAAATTCAAACATAGGCTCCCTTGATATGGGGCATACTGATTTACCCTTGCTCTGACCAGGAATGAGATCACAGTAAATCTGTTGAGTGATGGGTGAATAAATAATTGGATGGGTACACAGTTATGATGGATCTTTTCTGATAGTTCCCTGTTGAAAGACTACACTTTCCAGCTTCCCTTGAGAACAATGGGAGAGAATGTAACATACATGGTCTGGTCTTTTCTGCCCCTGTAAGGGGGCCACGGTTCATCCTCTGTAGGCATTTTGCCCATTTACACACATGGGTGACAAAGATTCCCCCTTGCTGTGAATAAACATGGTCCTGCCTAAGGTAGACCAAGCCTCTCTTTCTACCTTCTGTCTCTCTACAGTTTCTATCTCTGACAGCCTCTGATGAATAATGAAATTTTGTTTTGATTCATGCTCACTTCAGGCAGGCTGATGTATGCTGGAGAGCTTCCCAAGTTAGGTAGGCATGAGCTATCTCAGACTAGGCAAGACGTGACCGACATCCATAAGGTCTCAGCTGCCATTAGCGTTCTATAGGTGCTACTGAGCCAGATTTTGAGGAGCCACTATAAAGAAAAAAAAATACATTACACTAATTTTGAAGTTTTCCTAACACAACCACATGGTACGTAATTCAATGGTAGAGTGCTTGTGTAGCATGAACTGCTGTGTCCTATTCCTGGCACTGTGAACAAAATCACCTCAACACACAATGTATATTGACTTTGATGATTTGATAGAAAAACTATGCTATTTTATTTTATTTTATTTATTTTTTTACTTTCTGTACAATATATTTTTTGGTATGCCTGTTTTATTTTCAATAGCATTAAATCAAATATAAATATTTATTTCCTCTAATTAAAGTTTCAGAAATTCTCAACAGGAGAGAAAAAAAATGAGTGTACTGGAAAACTAACAATCACGGTGTGAATTTCCAGAACCTGAGGAGATTATATATTCAGCACAAGTTACTTGAATAGCTGTTTACTGAAGTATTATAAGATTAACTACGACAAATTTGTACAACCCGAAATATTCATTTCTAATCATTGCTCAGTGTTGCAAAAAAAGATTAGTTTAAAAATAAATATTCCATTTCACTGGGTTCCCACATATCAATCAGGTAGCAGATGTTCTCCTTGTTCTGTTTAGGGAAACCCACCTTCTGAAACATGAGCTCTGTAATTCTTTCTTTCTCCTGTGTTCAGGATGAGCTTCTGGCAGAACTTGAGGAATTGGAGCAGGAAGAATTGAATAAGAAGATGACAAGCCTGGAGCTTCCAAGTGTGCCGTCCCTGTCCCTCCCAGCACAGCCCAGTAGAAAGGCCGGCATGTCCTCCTCCGTGCACCGGTCTCGAGCAGGTCTGTTACCTGCCCCTAGGCCTGTGCTCTCATAGGTTCCTAAGATAGTATCCAGGCCTGTTGCTTTCAGTACTTAGTTATGCTGATGTTTATAAATTACATGTAATTTCTACCTGTTTTCTATGCTGCAATGACTACTAATGACTAACGACTAATTGCTGATTAAGACTAATGACTGGTTTTCTTCACTCTTATATTCTAGCATCTTCCAGGAGGACAGAAGAAGATGATGACTTCAAGCAGCTGGCGGCTTGGGCCACATAAGCTACAATATAAAAAATCTGACACCTAAGTTATTGAACTGCACATAAGACATAAATGCTTTTGCAAAGATCAGAAATTAGCAGAATCCTGTTTTATATGAATTATTGTCTTTTAAGTAACAGTTAAGGTACAGTCAGAAATAGAAGGGGCCAGTAGCATTATAGGAGACCCTTCCAGATTGATGGAGTTGGGACTTGTCTTTCTGCTTTATTTACTGCTGTGATTCTAGCCCTGGTACATAGTTGACTTTTTTTTGGTATATATGCATTGAAAGCAAACTGAATTTTACTGACATTTAATACATATTCCAGTTTATAAGCCATCCCAAGGAATACCTAGCAGAACTGAGGGGAAAATGTCTAGGCAAATACGAGGCAGCTGTGTGCATCCAGGTCACCCGCAGTAAAAATAAATACACGGCTAGAACAGACTTGTTCTAGTGAGTCTATATATACATAGTTTCAGTTGAGTTTCACAGCTGAAAATCTTCAGGGAGCTTTACTTTAATTGACGTTTATTATGCCAATTGAGCTTTGAGTGGATGAATCCCCCCAAATACCTGAAAGCAGTAACAGCTAAGTGTGCTGAGTAGGACTCTCCAGGGTGTGATCAGCCGCTCAGGAAGCTAAGGGAACCACTTGCAGGCTGTTCCCAACACTGTTCATTGTCTTCTGTTTTGTGTTCTTTTGTAATTTAACAGAAACAAAGCAAAACAAAATCCAAATACTTTACAGCATGCACTTTGTAAATATATTAAAGTCATGGCAATTAAAATACATATCTTGAGTAAAATTGTTCCTATAATTATCTTTAAATGAAAATAAATTATAAACCTAGGTATCACGCATGCCGTATCATAGCAGTTAAGTGTCAAAACCCCATGATGTATGGTGTTCTGGTGTTCCCTCCATCCATTTGAACAACCTGTGGATTGGGAAGAGTCCCAGGCTTCAAGTACACAGTCTTTGACCACTTGCTTCCGGTTTGGAAGTCTGAGTGTTGTGCTGGATGATCCCATGATGTATGGTGTTCTGGTGTTCCCTCCATCCATTTGAACAACCTGTGGATTGGGAAGAGTCCCAGGCTTCGAGTACACAGTCTTTGACCACTTGCTTCCGGTTTGGAAGTCTGAGTGTTGTGCTGGATGATCCCAGGGCTCCCACTCTGCCCCAGGTGCTTGGCATTGGCTGTTTCTCTTTGCACTCTTTCTGCCCTGCAAATGCTCCTCATTCTCTACATTCTGGCTAAAATTTTCCATCTTGGGAAACTTTTTAAATCATCTCACTGTATGCTTGTTTTGTTTGTTTGTTTGTTTGTTTAGCTTTTTGTTTTTTTCCCCTCACCCTGCTTACTCTCATGGCATTTTGTTTTCATGCTCCCTATCACACACCTAGCCTGAGGGCTTTCTCCTGATGCTCTGTGGTAAGGTGAGGGGTGAGACTACGTGTCTTTAGAAGTCTATTTCCAGGGCTCTTCAAAATCTCTCGTGTACAGCAAGCAGTCTGTCAATATTTCCTCAATGCACAACAGCCAGTAGATTGGCAGGATTCACCCTCTGCCCTTAAACAATGATGAGATTGGACCAAGCCTGGGGAGCAACAGTGGAACAACTGTCGGAGTAAAGCAACAGGACTTAACTTAGACACTGAACTGAAGACAGCACTGGACAGTGATGCCTAAGAGAAAGGAGACTCGTGATAAACACACCTAGTGACCTGGCTCGCTGAAGGAGAACTGGACAGAGCCAGGTGATTTTGGTGAGTTTATTTTTGTTGGGAAAGGGTCCTAGAAAAGAGACTGTTACAGAGACAGACAGATGCATGTGTACAGGAAGGAGTAATCTATAGTATAAATGTTTGAATGTCCTCTAGGGCACATTTGCAATCTCACCTCCATGATGATGGATATCTTAGTTAGGGTTTCTCTGCTGTGAATAGACACCATGACCAAGGCAACTCTTTTTTTTTTTAAGACAGGGTTTCTCTGTGTAGTTCTGGCTGTCCTGGAACTCACTCTGTAGACCAGGCTGGCCTCGAACTCAGAAATCCGCCTGTCTCTGCCTCCCAAGTGCTGGGATTAAAGGTGTGCGCCACCACCGCCTGGCTTCCAAGGCAACTCTTATAAAGGACTATATTTAATTGGGTTGGCTTACAGGTTCAGAGGTTCAGTCTATTATCATCAAGGTGGAAGCATGGCAGTATCCAGGCAGGCGTAGCTTGGGAGGAGTTGAGGGTTCTACATCTTGATCTGAAGGCCTCTGGAAGAAGACTGTTTTCAGGAATCTAGGAGGAGGGTCTCAAAGCCCATCCCCACACTGACACACTTCCCCCAACAAGGACAGACCAACTTCAACAAGGCCACACCTAATAGTGTCACTCCCTGGGCCAAGATTATTCTAACCACCCAGATGGGTTTTGTCGGTTGGCCCTTTAAGGACATGCTTGGGTCACAAGAGCAGGATCTCAGGTGTGGGAACAGTGATCTTACGGAATTTGAACTTGTAGGAGCTCGTTCATAAGCTTCATACATGCGTGAATATGGGCTAAGGAGACGATGTCCTTAAAAACGAAGCCAGCTGAAATGCTAGACATTAAACCTACAGCAACTGTGGGGAAAGACTACCTCAAATGGCCACTAATTTCAACAACCCAGACAATTAAGGATTTAGTATTCAATTGGCTTGATTTTGATGATTATTTATAGCTATTGGAGATAAAAAAATTTAACTATTAAATAAAAAATGTATAAGTATCTAACAACAACAAAAAACTACTAATGGAGGTAGTAACAATAGCTAAGTCACTGCAGAGGAGAAGAGGTGTAAGTGAAGGCACAGCAAGAGATACGGCTGCAAACAGACAAAACAAGAGACTGGGGCAAATTGAAAAGAACAGAGGAAGAGTGCATTGTAGGATCATATTAAGCCACCTACAATAGGAGTCCTAGCCTGGTGTGGCTGGGCCAGATAAGTGAGTTAGGGGGAACCAGATAAAACATTTCTGGAAGAAATAATGGTCAAACTTAAAATTTGACAGAAGGATAAAGTTACAGCTTAATAAGATTCAGCAAAATGGACAATCCATTTTCTGCTGCTGTAACAATACCTGAGACTGGATAAATCACAAAAGACCTAATTTGACTTACAGTTTGCTAGACTGGGATGTCGATGGGCACAGTGCTGACTCTGGTGAGGCTTTCTTGCTGCGTAGTAACCCTGTAGAGCATACGGTCTGGAGCGTGGCTAAGTGGGATCTCTCTTCTTAGAAAGCTTCCCACCAGGACCTCTGTACTCTACCTCCTGGAGGTCCTGCTTCTGCATATGATTAGCATGTGCACCTGAGGGTTCTTTCTTACTGTGAACTTTGAAGGGACCCATCTAAACCACAGCAATACCTCAAGCAGAAACAAAAGTCACTGTAGACATTTAAAATGTTAAGCCTCAAGAGTAAGATTTGAGGTGCTTTGCTTTGTCTTCTTCCTGATTAACACAGGATCCACATGCCTGATGGTGCAGCTAGCTTTCTGGGTCTACAAAGTTTCCACCAGACCTGTGAAAGGAGCTTGTTCAGAGTAGATTTTAATTATGTTTAATTTTAGCTAATTAAAAACTGTTTCTCAATACATTTATTAGAAACTCTGTAGAATTTCAATAACTTGGCTCTGCCTTTTGTAAATATGTTTTCTGTATGTCTCTGTCTGTCTGTCTGTCTTTCTGCTTCCCTCCCTTGTTTCCTCTGTCTGAAGTTCCGAGTCAGAGCCTCACTGTGCAGCACACGAGTTCACTTTCTGCCTCAGGCTGACCTTCATTCCTCTTGCTTTGGCTTCTGAAGCCCTTGCACTACAGTGATGCTTTGCTGTTGCCAGAGCTAGGCTAACCAACGGTGGCAAAAATTTACAGCTGATCTGGGATGCACTCTAAATGTTAAATAACCAATGGATTTCAAAAACTTGGTGTAGAGAACTGTGAAATATTTCATTAGTAATTGTGAAGTGGAAACTTCCGGTTTCTTTGGAAAGTCAGTTGGGTCGGATGGTGTTTTGCTGTGGCAGACACGTGAAGGAGTATTTTCCTGAGGTGGACACAGGTGAAAGGATGTTTTGCTAAAGCAAACACGTGAAAGGACAATGGATGAAAGATTCTTTGCTAACAACACACATGTATTGGTTCACCTTACATTTCATTGCTGAGCTCTGTTCGTCATGACTTCATGGAAAGAAATGCACCAAAAAACTTCTGGTGCTGCTCTGGCAGCTTCTTGCTTCCGCTGGGCACTTGGGCCGATTGGCAGAATGATGATGTTAACTGATACAGACTCATGTGGAATTTTGCTAGGAAAGACTTATGCGCTGAGTCAAGACATGTGGTGAGGTAAGACCCGTGGAGGGCACGTGATGATTGGGGGATATAAATACGACTCAGTGAACAGTGGTGGGGCTTGCCTGCCTGCAGACTCAGTGAACAGTGGTGGGGCCTGCCTGCCTGC